ATAGAAGATAGATATATAAATTATATATAATGTGTAGATATAATTTCCGTTTTACATTTTATATAATATAATATGATTTCAATACAATTGATCACACACAATATGATTTCAATACATTTGTTTTCTACACGCTGTGAAGATTTAATTTCCGTTTATTAAGATTTAATTTCCATTTAGTGAACGAATTAGTATTGTCTTTTGACGGGCCAACACCGTTATTTCATGTTATTCACAAATCTGTTAAACATATCCATAACGATCTCAATTCTATTAAGATAAACATGTTTCTATATTCTTATCAATATCTATATATATCATGGATATCATAATAAGATTTTTATGGTGATTGATAGGTATTTAACTTTTATATCGGTTAAAATTCTTATTATTTTCGAAATATCAAATAATTGTTATAAATAAATTATAGCTTTTAATTAGTTAATGAATTAATATAGCTTTATTTTTATTTTTTATTTTTGGCAGATTCCACAAAAATAGGGAAATAGGAGATATCTTATAAGTGAGTTATCCAATTCCAATAATCTCTCATTATTCAAATTTGAATTCAATTATGACTTTTAATCTCACATCCACATATTTTAATCTCTTCTAAAAATAGAATGTCAAACTTATTATTTTTTGGTCAAAAGTTTCCAAAAAATTTTATTCCAACAACCTTTTTATATATAGATAGATTTACAGCTTTGCCATAGAGAGAGAGAGAGAGAGTCCCAAAATTTGGTGCGGATCTGTCATAGGACATGATTTCCTCCCACAAAATCTGAGATTGTGTTTTACACAATTCACATCACAATTCACACGCAACAATCAGATCTCTCAGTCAACTCCCTTACCTGCTCTCATTCTTCTCCAAATCAAAGCGCCGCACCAAATCTTCTCCTCCTTCATTTTCGGTGTTCTACGCTGAGGAGTACCACCCGATTCAAGCAGGAAGCATCGACGGCACCGACATCCTTCCCCACGACAACGCCGTCTACAGAGCCCTTCTCTGCTCCAACGCCGCTCTATGTAACTGCTGCTCCTACTTTCTTCTCTCATCCCTGAATAATTTGTTGCGAATTAGGGTTTATTGCCTCTTTTCATTGAATATCCTACTTTCATTTTCTCGCAGAAGACCCGTATGGTGACCCGAAAGTCATTGGGGACCTTTACTGCACTATTTTCGTCGGTCGCCTCTATCATCTCACCACCGAGGACACTCTTCGCGATGTATGCGTACGCTTTGTTTGTGCGTGTAAAATGTCTGAGTTGCGTTTGTCTCTGTGTGTGTAGAACTTGAAATAGTAATTTGATGTTATGGCATATCTGATGTATGGTTTCTTTTTGCTTGTGGTTTATTAGGCTATGAACAAGTATGGGAAGGTGAAGAACTTGCGTTTGGTCTGGCACATAGGTATAATTTTTTTTTTCTTTTTTTTTTCGTAATTCAAGTTTAAGAAAATACATATGGTTTCTTTTGGTTGTCTCAATAAGAGCAAGCTTGTTGTTAGGCAGAATTTTCAGATGCCAGTGATGACATTTTTGAATTGAATGGTCAAAATAAACGAGCTTATCGAAATTTACTGAAACCTTTTGAAGAGAAAACTAACAAGTTGTTTACATATTCGGGGTTCAAAGCCCTTGCAAAAAACTTGTACACAATCGACGACCTCTTGACAAATACTACTTTCTCGAGTTCTGTAAGTCGATTATCGGTCGTTGTTGACCTTATCGGGTTTTTGCTTTGGTTTGCTGATTAGTGGTGGTCATTGTTTTATTGTGGCTTGTTTGGGCAACTTGTTTTGATGTAATTTTGTGTCGGATGTTTGGGTTAGGATTTCTCTTATCTGAATAGCCTTTTCTCGGGATTTCTGCTCAATATGTACTCCATCAGTCCAGTTCCATCAAAATCCTACCTAATGTGATTTCTATGTACGATATCAATGAAGATTTCTTAATGACAAAAGGGCAGATCTATTTTCTTCAAACACCTTCCAAACTTTACCCTTTCATCTCTTAAAGTGAAGATTGGTGCCATATGGACAAGGAGTTTCTCAGATCGAAATTCAGATCGGTGCCCAACAGGCAACAGCGGTGCGTCGTCGATTGTGCTCCCGCCGGCGCTGCTCCATATAGAGAACGCCCGAGAGAGTACCACGAGCTGTTTTACCTATGGGTCGCACACAAGGTCCTCCACTGACACACCAATCTTCGCAAAGAGCGATGACACGTCATCTGTCGTGAGCTGGGAGAGGTAGTGTTTTTAGTTTTGTTCGTTTTTACAATTTGTTGGATTCCCTCGGATGTTGTTTATTTTTTAGGTTCCGATGTCCATGCTATTTCTTAGGTAAAATTTATTTTTTAAATTTTAGTACTTTTACAATTTTGGTGAAATTATTAGGCACATTCTTTCTTCCTTTATCTATTTTTTTTTTCTTTAAGGTAATTATTCTGATTCAATCGCACATTCTTTCTTTCTTTAGTTCGAGATTCATCGTGGGATTTGAGGTGTCTGCTTGAGTTTTTTGATTTTACGTTTCACAGATTGGAGGAGATGGCCTATGAGGATGTAGTGTGCCGACGGCCGCTGCAGTGACGGTGGAGGTGCAAGTACAGAAACCCTTCTGCAGAAATTGGAGATCTTTGTTAGTTTGATGTTGTTGAATTTTTGGTATGGTTGCATTAAGAGATTCGTTACTCACTAAATTTTCATTTTTTGCAATGCCTCTGTGGCTTCATATTGGTAGGTTCCCTGCTATTTTAAATTTAGAATGACTAAACATAAAGAGAGATGTGGGTAAGTTGTTATCCGTGAGTACAGGATAAACACGGGAAGAATGAAGATGAGAATAACTTGGTATCCAAGAGAGATGTGATCGAGGGCGTGCTCCTCCAGCAAGCGGTTCAAACTGTTGTGGCCGCGATCCTCTTTGCTGTGAGATTTTTATTTTGGAAATCGATTCTTGGGTATTTGTAAAGCTGGCATTTTTTGCTCTGTGGATGCATTTGTGTTGCATGTTTTGACTGTGGTAAGCCATCCTTGCATAAGTAATTGTTCCTACACAAAAATAAAAAGATGAATTAGAACAAGAGCATCAGTCTTTTCTCCTCATTTGACAATTATTTTTTTCTAAACGTTGTTCTTGCTATTAATAACTTCAGGTTCGGAGCCTTCATATTTGGACCCGCTCTTCAGGACTAGAGACAAAAGCTGGTGGATTCAAACTCCATCCACAAGTGGTGGAGTGATTCTGAAATCACAGATGCTGGTACAGAGGCGCCTTACAAAGTAAAGGCCATTGATGAGCTGCGAGGGGTGAATTTGAAGCAGTTTCATGAAGAGGGAAGTGAGATAATGTTCAACTCTGATATCCACATTTTATCTTGTATTTATGAAATATCTCATCATTTAAAATTTTCAGCATAGGAAAAAGATGGCGTCAGACAAGCACAAAGCCTACTTAAATGATGATGATGTAAAGAACAATAATTGGAGATTTGGCTCTCCTCCAAACTATGATGTTGTGGACAAACTCTTTGAACAAGGCAGAACCAAGGTATTTTGTCTATTTCTTTGTTTATATATATATATATATATATATATATATATATATATATATATATTCCTATAAAAATAAATATGATTTTTTGACAAAATTTAGCATATGACTATAGCTTATAACCTTCCTTTTAAAAAAAAAACAAAATAATAATTATACATTATTAGAAATATTGTCTAAATTCACATTCTTTATAGATATGGGCACCTGGTTCACTAGAGGAAAAGGTGCAAAACATAGTCAAGACATGGGAAATGGAGATGTTCCACAAAGTGAATTTTGATGATCATAAGTCTGTGGACCCTATCAAGTATAGGTTCAACCTTAATGGTACCAATTATCTTTTATACTTAATTACCAAAAAAACAAAAATTATATATATGGTCTTGATATAGATTATCTTCCTCTCTTTTTGATCAAGTGAATATTAGAGCATCCGCACTGGTTTAATGGGGATGCATTCAAACGACAAAGGGGCGTTCAAAGGGATGTAGTCCATCCATTTTCCGTTCAAGCAGCTGATAGGTGTTTAATTTGTTGCTGCTAGAGTATAGGTGTTTCTGCTGCTGGAAGTGAGGGAGCATCTGGAGAGGCTCTGTGCGGGAGGTTCCAATGATTTAAGAAGCAATTTCGCAGGTAATTAAATTTGTCTCTCGCTCTATCCTTCTGTGTATGCGGTTAGAAAATGGCTCAATGGCTAATTGTTGATTTAATATAACTATCGGATATTTGTATTTTGTGGTTACTAGGATGGAATATAAGAATGTAATCATTGATATGAAACCATGAATTAGAGCATTTAATGATGGTTAGTTGGTTATGATCTACTGTTTGGTTCATTTTTTTTATATGGAATTTCTCTATCTCTAAGTTTTAATTACAAGAACAAATTATAGAAAAATCTAGATTTGAGAAAAATGGGAAGGTAAAAGATAGAAATCAAGAGAATAGATGACTTCATGAGTTAGCTTCTCAAAAAGGAGAGGCGTGCTAAATACCCAATTTACTATGCTTTAATTATTGCATAGTAATATGGGTCTGATAAAATATGAGAATTATCAAATTTGTTTCGCCATTTAAAGTGAGCGTTCTTGGGAGAATGTTTAGCAGATGTTAGTAAGTCTAATTGATTTAATTGAACAAAATCAGTTGTCTGTTGACGATACCGCCTACCATGGGATACATACATAATCTGTTGAATTTGTACTATTGCTACGATGTCGAAGGCACCACAAAAATGTTGAGTAAATGCATTGTCGAGGTTTGTTTTAGATGTACAAAGTGCTTGAACATTTGTGAATGTAAGTTTGATGATCTATCAAAACTATCAAATTTGTTTTCGGCATTTTAAGTGAGTGTTCTAGATGTTAGTAAAACTGATTAATTTTATCGAACAAGCCAATTTTCTGTTGATGATTGCGCCTAGCATGGGATACGTACAAAATTCGTTGAGTTTTGTACTATTGTGATGATGGCGAAGGCACCACTCGAATGCTGAGTAAATGCGTAGCCGAAGTTTCTATTCAAACATTCGATATAGATGTGTATAATCCAGTCTTATGGAATTAAATTACAAATATATTATTATAATTTATCTGTATTTGTTCATTTTTTTAACTAAACTCAGGTTACTAACACACCATGGGGTGAAAGAGTGACGTTTGTGTTCAACACTGAGTCCGATTAGTCGCAAAACCTCTTCATGTTACACCTTTCATGGTAGGTTTACCATCAATTATCATATTCTTTGTATTCGATTATCTCATTGTTTGTAATGTACATTCTCTTGTAACTATCTTGTGGTTTTCATTTTAGTTAGATTTTTTTTGTAGATCAACTCTTGTTTAAAACCATAGGACATGCTTGGAAACTGGAGCATAAAAATAATTGAAACGACCGATAACCTGCACATAGTAAATTCAGTGGAGCATCCAAAGCTCAGTAACTGCTTTACAGCCTGCCAAAAAAGTTTCGCTTTCACCAGTCAAGATTCTTCTGGTTGATGCCCCATAAGGTTGTATTATGAATTTATGGGCACGTAAGAACTCTTCATTAATGATATTTTATCTCCTTGCTTGAGCATGTACACTTAATCCGCCGCAGACAGTAACAGCACTCCACTGCTATCGTCACGCTTGGACATGAGTCTGCTTCTATATTTGACAGCCGTATAAATGTGATGTAGATAATATATTTAGAAGAGAAAAAGCCTATGTTTTTCCAGTTATTGTTTTAAATTCCTCTTTTTACATTCAATAACAACAAATGGCTTACATAAGTAGCAGGTATATCTATTTTCCCTAATAATTATACTAATTAGTTGTCTGGAAAAATTATTAAAGTACAAATATAAGGGTTACACTTTACTATCTACATATTTTGATGAGTTATGTGTAGAAAGGACCTCTTTGAAAACCAACTGAATATCTTTAATTTACATACATACATGATGCAATATGCAAGGTGAAAAACATGGGAACAAAAATGAGGATATTGATTTTGTTTTGTTTTTGGTTCTAAGATTTTGAAGATTTAGTTAGTTGGACAACAGATTGGTTTATATCTACTTTTACACTAGAAATGATGTTCTCTTAAAATTATGATAGGATTGTCGTCAAATTTTTTAAGTTCCTAATTAAACTTAAATACTAGATTTTTCTTTTGTTGTGTTTTGTTTTCGTCTGTACCATAGAGTCCACTGTGGCTTGCTGTGTTGATTTGAGGACGAGCATTATTACTTTTGGTTTTCATGAGCAATGAAATATTTTTCAGCTCTTTCACCCTTTTTAGCTTTTCTTCGATTTAAATGTGTGTTTTTAAGATAAATGATGAAAAATCTCATTAGACATCTTGAAGAAATGGCGACCCTCTGTCTCATCTACTCCGTGAGTTTGGTACCATGAGGTTTTAATTGTTATTTTTTCTTAAACTGGCTCAACTTACAATGGACATTCACCTAATTATGCCTCATCAAATTTAAATATATTTTGCATGAAGACTCACAAAAGTTATGATCCACTTAAGTTGCTAAGTAATAATATTTGCATTGTTAGGCTACATATGTAATAACATTGATGTTCACATTTTTCTAAAAAAGTATTTCCCTTCTGATTCTTGAGACTATTATTACTGACTCCATTTCTTTTGAAAATACAATCTCATTTTTTTTTAACGAGATTGAGAAGGGGTTGCGTTTTTAATTATTATTATTTTTTATTTATTGAGGAATGAAGGTTATGGTATTTTGGATGAATGAGAATAAGGGTTGTTATGGATGAGGATTTACTGATGAAAGTAGTGATGTAATCGCAAGAAACCGAAACCGTGTGCATAAAGTTAGCGCTTGAGAAAAACCAGGTTTTTAAATTTACAATTTGGTATGTGTACCATCTTCTTAGTATTTGTTAATTGGGCATGTTAGTTGGTTGAATATAAATTTACTGCATCTTTACCTTTTCTTTTAGTAATAGGTCTACCCATTGCGTCCGCTGCTTGAAAGTACTATCTTTGATGGGACCGTCTATTGTCAGGTACCCTTCGTACCTACCTAACATTAGGTACCCTCTTTATATCACCCTTAGATTAACTTAAAATCAATATGAACCATTAGATTAAGGTACGAGGTTGGTACGAGGTAACCAAAATTCTATTTTGTCTCGTACCACCCTTGTACCAACCTCGTACCCCCTTGTACTTGCAAAAAACCTATAACACCCTTATGTAATTAAAAACTAAAATAAATCATAAATTTATAATTCTATTTATCTTTAAGTCCTTATATATAATCTAATTTGTATAATATAATCCTTCACCTACAAAAATATAACACCAAAGCTCACAACTTTAACATTTTAGAATTAATCTTCCAAAAATCGACATCATCATCTCTTTTTTCGAGTCTTCCCCAATCCCAAACCCCTCTCACACCTGCCGCCATGCCGCCGGCCTTCGACGCCTGCGTCACAATTCCTCTGTTACTCCTATGAAGGCGGAAGGATCCTCCCGCCGGTTCGGTTCTCATATCCAGCCCGACAGCCCTACCAGTTCCAGTCCTCCTTCACCGTGCTCAACAACGACGCCCACAAGCTCAAATCCTGGCAGTTTTTCGTCGGGTTTCAGCACGAGGAATATCTGGTGTCGGCCACGAATGTCGTGCTTGCAGATGGGAGCGCGATGCTGGGGCTTGTGAGAAACGGTTCGGTTTTAGCGGGGTTTTCGAATCTGGATCTAGAAACGGGTATCGAGACAGCGGGGATTTAACCCAGATGGGAGTTTGGGTTGAGCTGGCAGGTACGGAGTTTGGGGTGGTCCCACTGGATGTGCCTATGCCGGCGAATATCTATCTAGTCAATGATGGGCGGATTTGTCCCTGACCTGGGATGCAAGGTGAGCTTGTGCCACTGTGTGTTTGCCTCTTTTCTTCTTCTTCTTCTTCTTCTTCTTCTTCTTCTTCTTCTTCTTCTTCTTCTTCTTCTTCTTCTTCTTCTTCTTCTTCTTCTTCTTCTTCTTCTTCTTCTTCTTCTTCTTCTTCTTCTTCTTTTTGTACATTTAATTCACTGTCTGTTTGGAGTTGGGAGGATTAGGTCAACTATAGCTTGATTCTTTACGGTTTGGCTTTTAGGAGTGTATGTTATGTGTTTTTCTCTTACGGTCAGATTATTGATGATTCCGGTCTCCACATAGCCTCCCACCGGCGTCCGTCGCCGCCGGCGGCTAGCCGGCCAGATCAATGGAGCCTGCCCCTATTATTTCTTCCGTTCCAGCAGATTTCTTTTCCTCTCTCCCCGATATGGCCCCTTCCCCGAGCAACAAGATCCCATCCCCCTCAACGATTTCATCCAAACAACTCTTATCAAACCTTGGCAATTTCCATGGCAGAATCTCTGTCTGGTCAAACAACTTCAAGAAGGCCGTCAAATCGGTTTTGCAGTCCTCTGATAAGCTTCAACTTTCTCGAACAGGCGGTCCAGCGGCCCACGACAGTCACAGCTTTGGCAATATCCCGTCAACGACTGGGTCGCACCTCCCCATGACAGTTACGCAGTCTTTTGTACCAGCAAGTAAAAATCCCAGGTCCGGCGTGCCCTCCTTTCTAGCTCCCGACTTGGCTCCTCACCCCAGCTCAGTCGCGACAGCTAGTCACGATACTGGGAATCCATGGACGGTGCCCTCCGAACCTATTCCGGCGAGTAATCTCTCTCCTCTGTCATCTTTACCCCCTTTCTCGGCGACAGAGACCCTCCCCCAATCCTCAAACCTTATCCTCTCTCACCCCTCATTTCCCCCAGCTCAATTTGATTTGAGCCGACCATTTGGGCCACTTCCCAGGCCAAATTCAGACCCCCTATTAACCCCCTGTGGGCCGTCCCCCATGGCCCAAACCTTCTCCCTTCCCAACTCTCCAACCCACTCCCCAACATCCTTGACTAGCCCATTAGGCCCAACCCCCTTCATTAAGCCCAACAATGTGCAGACACCCTTTCCTTTACAGCAACAGCAAGACTACTGAACCTCCATCCAGCTTTCGATGACCACCTCCTCGGGCGTCTTACTGCCGGACAGTGACCTGTCCTCCGGCTCCGGCGCCGGCACCGTCGCCGGCGTGAGCAACTCTCAGGCGGGCGGGTCCCATGTACCGATGGCACCTCTTATCACGGGCCCGCTCCCTGACATGCCGACTGTCACTGTCATGCCGGCCGACACCCCAACGGAGCCCATCCGACCCGGCCAGACCACCGCTGTCACCGCTCCTACAGGTCTCGGTCATCTCATCCCGACCTCTAATGGCTATGGCTCATCCTCTTCGCCGATAGTCGGGATTTTAGGCCGTGGCCCACCTTCGGCCGTCATCTTGCCACCGGAGGATACCACCTTCGTCAACTTTATGGACTTTAGTGAGCGGCTGCCAAGGAACAGTGCGGGTCAAGGACCGAACACGGGCATCCCCCCTCTCCAACCGGTGAACCAAAGCTCTCGGCCTATCGAAGCACGATCTTTTCGGGACGCGGTATCCAGCCCCCTACCGCCAAACCGGGACAACAGAATCTAATGCTGGAGTCTTTTCGGGACAGCAGAGCTGTACCATAACCCGCTCCGAGGAGGGCAGGTTCAAGATAAGTTTCCCTGAGCCCACTGTTATTTCCCTAGCTGGATCGTATGATAATGCACTTATCTTGAAGTTTTCCTTCACTGTCCCTTCCCTCCGGGATTTATCTGTCGGTCTAGACAAATTAGGGTTTAAGGGTAGAGTGATCCCTAAGTTTCTTAACTATAATCATTA